GGGTGTTAACCAACTACGTGTTTTCTGGCGATGAAAAGGATGTTTCCACACAATGTCTCTTGGTTGAGGCAAAAGACAGCAAAAGGAAGGAAGCTTATGAGTGGTGATGTGTATGTGTGGAGCCCTTTGTAAACACCAACCGTTCAGTTTTTATATGACAGTAGTTACATCCGTAGCATAGGGCCAGTGACTAGAAGGGAAGACAGACAATGAATGGTAGTGCGTCCAGATCATGTGGCCGATCAGCTGAGGAGTTGTAAAATGGACAAACAAAGGACGCCATTCTGAACATCGTATTTGATCAATTTAACATGAAACTCCAGCAGTCATGCAGACACTACTAAATGGCGCCTCAATAGACAAGCGAGCCAAGAAAAAGACATGTGCGAAAGGGCTTTAGTTTGCGTTAAAGTATATGAAGAAGTAACTATCAAAGAAGTGGCATTTTCCTATCAAGATTTTGTACTAGTTAAGTGTTTTGATCCATTCAAATGGCATTCGGCAAACGCTTAACTATCCAACCTCCCACTTAGGTGATGCTAGTAAATTAATAACAAACAGAGAACGAAGACCGAGATGTTTGCTGTTTTTAATCTTCCAAAAGAATGCACTTAATTTAACCAAACCGACCTCTATTTGCTAATCAGTTACTAAAAGGCATGTCTAGTATCTGCACTACTTCGTAAGTACTTGGTGTTTCGGGCGAAAACGTAGGATATGAGGGTAAGTGGTGACAGTGACGCTGGCGCGAAGATAGAAAGTTAGACTGAACATAAAAATGAGGGCTAAGAGCGAAAATAACGGGGAAGGAGGGAAGTGGATGAAATCCTCAATACTTTGGGTGACATTCCTTATATGAGTCCCTGTCGAGAACTATAGAAGGGGCCTGGTTAGAGGCAAAGAATTTAAATGCATGCTTATAAAGTAAACATTTGGTAGAAGGGGCGAGGTGGTGCGAGGTACAGGAGGAGGTCAGGGAAGATATATTCATAAGGTCTAACCTGAGTAAAGTAGCCACGTAGCAGGGCTCGAATTACGGGTTCCGCATTTCCGGCTGGTTCTGCAGCCACCCATGGCAGCTTCTGTCGCTTGAAGATATTGGCAATCTTGTCACGAATATAGAGGGCCCGGGACAGGCCTCGGCCATTAAGACCCACCTCTTTGCACCAACGTTTTAGATTCTCCTCGCCACCACCGGCGGTGCGCTTGGCAGATTCTCGTTCGAAGGCAGTTAGCGCGTTCAGCTCTGTGATGTGGTCACCCTGGAGGCAACCGAACAGACGACGCCTGCTCTTATCGGCTGTTTTCTTGTAGGCCGCCCTTGAAACGAACACGTTTTGCAGCTAGAAATAGTGATTGCGAGGTACGTCAGGGTGAGTACACAGACACCGCTAATATACGAAAAAGTTGTAAAGAAAGAATCGAAGCAGAAGGAAGAATGCCCTGACCGACACAAAGGCGGGCCTTCAAACTCACTGATTGTCGAAGGTTAGTAATAATAAACCGGGTAGAACGCTCAGTTTTCTACCCAGAGAGAAAATGATCCACATGGTAGATTGAATTAACAGTTCTAATTTGAGTTGGTTTTGCCTTTTTTATCGAAGAGCACAAATGAACCCACCGTCTCAAGCGCATCTAGGCCTTTCGCTCA